TCCCAGAAGAGAATTATATATATATAGATTCTATCTAGATTTAGATAATAGTGATTTTCTATATACTAAACTATTTTAGACCTTTATTATTTTATATAAATCTTTGTTTGGAATATTCTAATTTTGAAATGCTTGCTCCATGGTCTATTAGCGTACCTAATGATTAGATCTAGATTCTAGATCTAATCATTAGCTACGCAAAAACTAAGCTTAAGACTTAAGCAAACGAGTCGTAGAATCTAGATCTAGATAATTCTATCTAGATCTAGATAATTTCAGACCTTCTTTATTTTATATAAATCTTTGTTTGGCTAATTTAAGATAAAATTTAATTTGAAAGTTACTACTATGTAACACATATGGTTACCAGCCACGGGGGATAAAAATATGAAGTTTTTATTCATTGGGTTGCGGCCCCTGTGGGACTGCAACTGAACTGTTGACGTTGTTTTTTTATGCTTTTTTGAGCGATGTTACCTGTGTTCCATGTCATGTGACATGGGACTGTGGGTAGTTTCATGCCTAGCCGTGTCGCACACGCAAGGCTGCTGTCTGTGGACATGGTGACCAAGGTGTAGACCTAATGAAGGTAGTTATATAAATTATGTTTGTTAAAATACTTATGTATTCCTGCTAGTGTTGCATGTGCACACTAGTTAGGGTGAGTATTAATATAAGTATTTATTTGAAGTACTACGTATTGGTACTTGTTGGCAGTACTGTGTACTGGCCAAAACATATTTTATTGTTACCCGTGTATATTGTAGCCTACACATGGTGTTGTCAGGAATGTAACTTTTTTATTTACATTTGTTTTAGGGCTACAGCTTTTGGTTTTGGTTTTTGGATCTTTTGGTCTTTTGGTTTTGGCTTTTGGATTGTTTGGATTTTTTGGATCTTTTGGTTTATCTTGGCTAGTTTGTTTTGTACTACTGTGTTGCATCGCCGTCATGGCTCGATGCTGTAAATAAAGCGAGTACTGGACAACTACTGTCGCTGTCGGTGTGTACTTAATCTCAGGGTCAGCCCGTCTTAACCACAACACCTCAGTGGGTAAAAGCATCCCCACTGAGTGAGGGTTACATTTGGCGCCCAACGTGGGGCTTGACCTTGGGAGGTAGGATGGAAAACAGTGACCCGACGTTGGAGAAGTTGTCGCAGGAGCTGGCCAAGTTGACGGCTAAGATGGCGGCGATGCAGGCAGATGCGCAGCGGCCCGTGACGGTGGAGTTGTGTGCTCCAGCACACAACAGCAAGCTGAGTGTGTTCACCGGCCTTCCACCCACTGGAGGAGGGGAGGTGAGTTTCCCGGAATGGGAAACCCAAGTGCAATGCTTGCTGTGGAACACCAGCGTTCCGAACCCGTTGCCACGCGTCTTAGGCAGCCTGAGAGGGATTGCCTATGAGCGGGTGAAGCAAGCTGCGAGTCCAGAGGAAGTGCTATGCCTCCTACAAAGCACTTTTGGCGACACCAGATGTGCCGAAGACAGGTATCTGCAGTTCAGCCGACTCACTCCACATCCAAGGGAGTCAGCGTCGGAATTTCTCTGCCGACTGTGGTCAGAGATGACGAAGCTAAACCAGCAGCGTATCTTTACTGAGGCCGATGCCCAGAAGAAGGTGTATCACACTTTCTGCAAGGGGGTTTCACCTCTTCTGGCACTCGAACTTCGCGGCACATTTGGTTTCGCAGGGGAAGCCAGTCCGAAGGTTGAGGACGTCCTTAAAGCTGTTAAAAGGCTGGACGGGACAACTGAGTCCCCAGTCGTAGCCACGGCAGCAGCTAACAGGACTATCCAGGTCGACGCAGTAACGGCAGCTGTTCACCAAGAGACGACGCCGCCGCTGATGCTCACGGAGGAGCAACTCGACCGTCTGGCGGAGAAGGTCGACGCAGTAACGGTAGCTGGTCGCCAGGAGACGACGCCGCTGATGCTCACGGAGGAACAACTCGACCGTCTGGTGGAGAAGGTGGCAGATATCCTAGCCCGGAAACAACAGCCCTCCAGAGGAGCTTGTTACGGGTGCGGGTCTACGAAGCACTTCGTCCGCGACTGTCCGAGAAAAGAAGCTAGGCAACGGGGTCAGCAGCAGGGAAACGCCAGTCCATCAGCCTAGGGGAGCGGATGCTGATGCGTGTTCTGCCAAGCTCCCAGCCCAAGTTTACGCCACCGAGATCATCACAGTGTCGAGCAACCACAGCTCAGGTTACCTCGCCTAGCGGCTGGAGGTACGGCTGTCGGGTGTTCCGCCGTGGAGGAGGGTTGCAGCCGGAGGGTGCGCGTGATGAGGGTAGACAGCCACACTATGCATGTCAGTCTCAGCGCGAGCAAGATCGTCGCTTGGGAGACAGACATAACACAAGCAGAGGTCGGAGACGCCGCCGGAAGAGAGGCCGACGACGTGGTGGACGCCGCCGTGGTTGGCAGCGACCCGACTATACAATGTCGAGTGCTGAACCCACTGTGGCGGAGGGGGAGCGACGGAGAGAGATCATCCCAACCAGTGAGGCAGATGAAGGTGAGGAACTGACAATCAAGGTAGTGGTCCCAACCAGACTTCGGCCGGAGGCAACGCCTTTCGTGCCCGAGGTGGTCGCCCAGGACGGACAAGAAAAGGTGATGGTCAGGCCAGCCGCCCCACATCTGGACGAGGTGAATGCGAGGGACGAGGCATCGGACGAGGAAGACTCTTGGATCAACCCAGAACCACCAGCGGAGCTGCGGATGTCAACCCGTCAACGACGACCCGTCGAGCGACTCAACCTGGCGCATCAAGTGGTGACCAGTACCAGCACTGGAGCCTCTACCGGTTTGCCGGGAATAATGTATTTAAGTTGAAAGGACTTAATGTCTGTGTACTAGTGTACTGAACTTTTTTAAAGTACTATTATGTATGAGTTGTAAATGTAAATGTAAATGTGAATTCCATTGTACATTTATTTGTGAGGGGGGGCTGTGTAACACATATGGTTACCAGCCAAGGGGGATAAAAATATGAAGTTTTTATTCATTGGGTTGCGGCCCCTGTGGGACTGCAACTGAACTGTTGACGTTGTTTTTTTATGCTTTTGTGTGCGATGTTACCTGTGTTCCATGTCATGTGACATGGGACTGTGGGTAGTTTCATGCCTAGCCGTGTCGCACACGCAAGGCTGCTGTCTGTGGACATGGTGACCAAGGTGAAGACCTAATGAAGGTAGTTATATAAATTATGTTTGTAAAAATACTTATGTATTCCTGCTAGTGTTGCATGTGCACACTAGTTAGGGTGAGTATTAATATAAGTATTTATTTGAAGTACTACGTATTGGTACTTGTTGGCAGTACTGTGTACTGGCTAAAACATATTTTATTGTTACCCGTGTATATTGTAGCCTACACATGGTGTTGTCAGGAATGTAACTTTTTTTATTTACATTTGTTTTAGGGCTATAGCTTTTGGTTTTGGTTTTTGTATCTTTTGGTCTTTTGGTTTTGGCTTTTGGATTGTTTGGATTTTTTGGATCTTTTGGTTTATCTTGGCTAGTTTGTTTTGTACTACTGTGTTGCATCGCCGTCATGGCTCGATGCTGTAAATAAAGCGAGTACTGGACAACTACTGTCGCTGTCGGTGTGTACTTAATCTCAGGGTCAGCCCGTCTTAACCACAACACCTCAGTGGGTAAAAGCATCCCCACTGAGTGAGGGTTACAACTACTAGACTTAGATCTAGATCTATGCGCGTAAATCAAGTTGAATAAGGAGACTCAAAGTATAGTATAAAAATTCACTTGTGACGTCACCAGTAAATAGCTACGTTGGCAGTGTAATCGGCTCTCATGCGGGTGGCACAGGTTCTAGACCAATACGTCAATGATATTTTTTTTTCAATTTTTTTTTTTTTTAGATGTGAATGATAAAGTTGCCTATCTGAACTTAACGGGATACAGGGCAGGTGAAGTAGAGTTCATCTGTTTCTTTGTCCTAAGCATATGGAGAGATAGTGTGGTCAGAGACACGCTCGGCTGGAATCGTTTTTAAACAATAAAAACATGTTGTCTGAGACTTGGCGGGACACTGGGCAGGTGAAGTAGAGTTGAGTAGGTCACCTGTGACGTCAGTATATGAAGGGATAGTCCGAAATCGGTGTTTTCGGTGTTTTTAAATGATAAAAAACATATTTTTGAATGTGGGGTCTGTTTTTTTGTGACGATAAGTGACACTGCAGTAGCGTAGCGAGGGGGGGGGGACATATGTCCCCGGGCGCCGAACTTAGGGGGCGCCAAAATGGGTTGGAAAAATAAATTGAAAGGTTGAGGGGGGGGGGGGGTGCAAATCGAAATCTTGAGGGGGGGGGGGTGCACATCAAAAGTTTGAGGGGGGGGGGGGGGGGGTTCAAATGGAAAAGTTTGTCCCCGGGCGCCGGGAAGGGTTACTACGCATCTGAGTGACAGACGTGATGTTTTTTGATGGATGACCCCCGAAACCCACAGTTATCCAACGGATGATGGGTAGTCTAGTTATTATTATTTTTGTTTTAACTGGTGATGTATTGTAAAAATAGAAATTAAAAATTATTATTTTAAAAATCCGTTCCGGACATAATTCTTTTCACTACAATTTAACGATTAATTTTCCATCATATTTCTCTGAGCGAGAGTAGATTGATAATTAGCTTATAAAAGATTCGCACATATTTAATCCCACTTTGGAGTTGGCTGCAGAAGTGCTTCCAAATTCGATGCAACATTTACATTTTATAATAAGCAGATTTAGAAATAACTTTACAGTAGGCGCATAATATAAATGGCTGTTTGACATGAAACATTTGTGTTTATAAAATAGTTCATTAACTGTATGTTTAAAATCTAGAAAAGAATGTCAGTAAATTATCCAAGCACATCTGCTAGCTAAAGCGTGAGTAAATGTTCTTTCATCTAATGTTAATTTACAGTAATCTGCACATCTTTGCAGTAATAAAATCTGCGCATGAAATAGTGCGAAATACACGACACTTACCTGAAGCATTGTCTGAGAAAACGAAGTGAGTTTGTAAGATCAGCAGCAGGATGATGCCCAGCCAGATGTTGATGTCCATGGTGGATGAAGTTGTTAAACAAGGCAGACTGACGCTGGGATTTTAGCCAGGTTGTTGACAACTGACCAACCACGTAGTGAGACAGAGCAGACTGTGATGTTTATAGGTGGAGATATAGAGGCTGTTATCAACGGATTAGTTGGCTTATGTGTTGTAAGAAATCTACTGGTTAGTTTTGCGTAAGGTTCATTAAAACAAGTCACATAACTCCGTCACATACAGCCATAAAATATATTTACACGAAATAACCAGGGGTAATTATAATTTCTTATCTTATGTTTTAAACTACTGTGTTTTCAATTGTGCAGATTATTAATATATATATATATATATATATATATATATATATATATATATATATATATATATATATATATACATATATATGCATATACATAATACAAGAGTACAAGAGCAGCAATAACTACTACCAAGACATCACTTTACAGTCGTTTACTTAAAAATAATAAGATTGCATTAATTTAAAAGATTAATTTAAAACAACTGCTGCCTTGTAGTTTGTTCTTGGTTGGACAAAGGCTATGGAAGCAAATCCAAAAAGAAAAGCAGGCTGAAATCGGAGTCAATGGCCTCAATGGCGCATAACCAGTTGACACGTAACGCTTAATTGTGTTGGAGGCGTGGTCGAGTCGGCAAAAAGCTCATGGTTGATTAATTCGAACAAAGTCTCGATAAAACTCACTGGCAGATAAATCTCGATCCGCCTCAACACTAATAATTAAGAACGAAGAAGAAGAAAGAAGAAGTCACAAGGCTCAAGGAAAGTTTAACCTGAACCCTAACCTAACCCGAACCCTAATTCTTACCCTAACACGGACCCTAGCCATACCTTTAGCTTACATCACCTTATTTTCACGGTTAAGTTTTAAGTTACCTTAAACCCAAAAATCAGCTAAGCTTTACAGTTACGTTTTCCGGTGAGATTAAAATATATACATGTACAACAACTAAAGTCCTTAGTCCTACTACTTTACTTTCAACTAAAGTCCTTAGTCCCACTACTCTACTTTGTCCCTAACGGTCTCTCGAAGCCTATGTCTAATACTAGACTAATACAGTACAGACATCTCGTGCCACCGGCTCACAGAGGCGTCCCTTGAACCTCCTCACTTTAGCCACCCGAGTGTGTGTGTCTCCCTAGTCTAATCTTACCGTCTCAAACCCCTCCTTAAATAACTGTCTCACTAAACTCCAGGTGCTGGGGTAATTATGCACCAACACTAGTGTCAAAATCTTATTAGACCGACTGCCAAGCTTCACACGGTCAATGCTGACGTCCATGAACATGCCTCCGCATTTCATTTTAATTACCTGGCCGGCTGATCAAACGCTGGTCACCCGTCTCATTTGTTTATGGGCGGCGTCTCACTTACTCTTTAATAGGGCTAACATAAGTACAATTACCTTGGAATCGTAACTACACACACACACACACACACACACACACACATATATATATATATATATATATATATATATATATATATATATATATATATATATATATATATATATATATATATATATATATATGTGATGTCTACACAGTGTAAATATTTGATTAATATTTTGATATTTTAATTTTTTTTCAGCTGGTTGTTAGATAAAAAAAGAGTCCTAAGTGTTTTAACCTAAAGTTCAGGCAAATATTATCAAAACAGAAAATAAAAATCTAAATAAACAGTCAAAATTGAAAAACATCTTTTTATATATTTAACTAGAACTCGAGTTGTAGTAGATCTATATTTAATGTTTTGTTTGTTTGTCTGTTCGGTTACATGAGAGCTTCTGCACTATGTGTAGAACTGTAAAATACTTATTTAAGTAGAAAATAATTTTTTTTTACCAAAATGTTAAACACAAATCCATTTAGACGTTAATTAATTTATTGATAAATTTATTGGTAGAAACACCACATTAATTATAAAAGTTCAGAACAATTATTTTAATTTTTTCCACAACAAACCAGGTGCCAATATGATACGCTGGGCAGTTCTTCTAATTTAACTATACAATAAATTTATCTAGCCTAGAACTAGAGATTCTATGCTCAACCAAAATCGCTGTTTTAAATTACAAAAACATGTTGTCTGAGGTGTGACGTCTTTTTAATGTATGGTCTGGCTTTTTCTGACGAGATGTGACAGTAGGGAGGCAAAGGGAAAGATAAAAATCGTCAAATGTATGTGAAGTTCTTTATGTATGACCCACGAAACCCACAGTTATCCAAGGAAAACGATTATCCTACTTTTGACTAAAAAGTATTTAAGTGGTTGTGTAAGTAATATCATTTACAATTACTACCTTATATATAAAATATTTTGAAAATGTCTAGACCTAAATTGAAAATGTTCAGAAAACATTTATCTTCTAATGTATAAGGAGCTAAAAATAATATCGGGATGTTGCTATTAGTTGGAGATTTAATTTATTTGATTACGGTTAGAGCATTTTATTTTTATGTTTCAATATATGTTTAGAGCATTAAAGTTTACTGATGATATTCATATTAAATCTCATAATCTTAATACATTTGTTTGAAGCTGAAGTAAGCTATACATTTAACCAGTATAATAAAATATATTAAATCACCCCATTATAAAAAAAATACATTGTTTTAAAAAGAGGTTCAATTAAACTTTATGCACTAGTGTTTGAACTATCTCAATGATGTATATTTTATTTTCTCATTACTGTTTTCTTATTTTCATCTCCACTGACTGAAGATTGCTGTTGTCGTCAGTCAATGAGTACCAGTGTATGCCGCGAGCCCATTTCCTTCTTGGCTGCTCTCCATTCAGAAATACGTCATGACAATTGTGGAACCACCATCCTGCTAAATACTTAGCAGCGCATTGGGTTGTCCCAGGGTAATCTATCGTGTAAAACCGATATCCATTGTGTCTCTTCAACTCGTCTTTCACGTTGCCCGAGAAGCCAGAAACTCGAAGGGGAAAGTACTCTGATTCGCTTCCTATTTTGAAAGATCTGTATTGAGCGTAGTAGTTGACGTTCTTGTATCTCATATCGATTCTTAGTTCCCACGTACCATTCTGGCGATTGTAATAGGTAAACATTGCTTTCAAATATGCATATAATTTAAACACATACTTAACTATATTTTTATTTAAATAAATATATAAATATATGTTCTATTATATCAAGCCCAAACGGATTCTGTGGCCATGCATGAGGCGAACGGACCTAGGGAAGACATGAATACTGTTAAAAAAACTCGACTTCATCACCAAAGTGTACAGTTCTTTAAGTGTTTAATTTTTTCTTTTAATTAATGAATTTATAAAAAAATTAATATGCACGGTTTTGTAAAAACAAGTTTTCATTTGTCAAAATTATCGGTTTAATTAAAGCCACTTTGGACTTTAAAAAATTAAAGAAAATGTATCACTCTTCACAAAAATTCTAATTGTGTCTGAAAATCACTTCCCTTCGTCTCTTAGCACCAATTACTTTCCTTGATAAATTGATAAATTACAACAACAAAAAATAAATAAATAAATCAATAAATAAATAAATAAATAAAAACGAAATCACAATTACTTCGTTTTAAAAAAAAAATTACTTTGGGATAAAAAGTACTTTTTTTACATAAGCAGCATAAATTTATAAAATAAATATAAGTTTAAAAGCCGCTCCTAAATGTTCTCTGTTTGCAGACAAGCTAGGGGTATTATAGTTGCTCACTAAATTGAAGCAGGCGCGTCCTCAGGTGACCGGACTCAGTGCTATTTGGCGCCTCGGGTCTTTGCGTGAGCGCTATGGCACCTACGTGTGTTATAATGAATTAGAAGGGTTACTATAGCGCCTACGTTCGTTTCAGTGAATATGAATATGTTGGGGTATTATAGTCGTTTACTAAGTTGAATCTGGCGGCTCCACTGGCGCCCCGGCAGAGTGCGATTTTGGCATCCTGGGCTAGATTGAGAACAGTATGCATTTATATTTGCATTTAAGTTTGTGTTTATGTTCTGCGCTATTGTTTGCGTTTGTGTTAGCGTTTGTGTTTGTGTTTGCTTTTATAATTGCTTTACTGTTTAGCTTGTTTGTTTTTGTTTACGTTTGTGTTTGCGTCTTTGTGTTTGTTTGCGTTTGCTTTTGTGTTTGATTTTGTGTCAGTGTAATGTTTACATTTGTTTTTTAATTTGTTTTGGATTTGATTTGTTGTGGTTATGGTTAATTCGAAAAGTAATATATTTCTTAAACCCGTGCAATGCCGGGTATATGCTGCATCTTAAACACACAAAACATGGTCGTTTAGAAAAACGTCTTTCTCAGAGGCCAGTATATATAAATATATATATATATATATATATATATATATATATATATATATATATATATATATATATATATATATATATATATATATATATATACAGCAAAGTAGTCAGGATGCATCTGTTGGTGCCGATTGCGATTCACATTTGACAGGCACCTGCATTTGGCGATTTAGTCGCCGTTTATCTGATGCTGTCCCGTACGCTTGCAAATGGTGTTTTTGTTCTTGTTTCTCCGAGGCTCAACCCTTTGCTATGTTTCTGTACCTTGGCCTTGTTAACTTGAATCGCGTGCGAGTAATGTAGATGTGTAGATGGTTGATTATTAAGAATTGTTTATAAATATTACCACGAATATCACACAACTTTTTTTTGTTTCGTCAAGTACATATATATATATTTAAAATTCGGATTTCAGAATACTGCTTTTCAAAAGTTCCATTCTTTTTCTGTAATACTATTGTTTGTTTAGATTTGAAGATGGCTTCATTATTTTAGTTTACTACTGGTGTTTGTTTATGTTTGTCGGTGGTTTACAAAGGTTATTTAAACATCCTTGTCCCAACAAGGATGCACGCAAAATTAGCATACATCCACTTTGTCCGTCTCAAAATGTTTACTTACTTTGGTTAAGTTATGCATATGTTTGAGTCCAAGCCAAAAGTCCCCAGCAGATGAGCCAAAACCATTTCTGTAGTGGAGCCAACGTTTATTAAAATCCACGTCGAAGCTGATACGTCGCTGAAATATAAAGGCGGTATTAGTACAAGCATGATGAGGGATTATAATATTTTTTTTGATTTAATTAAACGATGACCCAAATTTAGTCTCAGGACAAACCCTTAATTTTACCAACGAGATGAATAAATTTCCATAGACAAAAGTCATTAATGGGTTTGATTTCAACGTAAATGTATACATTGTTGTAATCCATTATTTGCTAATTACTTGTATCATAATCCACCCTCCGCCATCAGTTTTGGTATCACATATCACATCTACACCAATTTCGGATTTCATGATCGCCCTTTCTGGTAAATCATTAGACATCGATCTCCTGTCACAAGTTTTCTGTCCAACAAATTTATAATTATTTCAGAACAATTTAATTATATATATATATATATATATATATATATATATATATATATATATATATATATATATATATATATATATATATATATATATATATATATATATATATATATATATATATATATATGTGTGTGTGTGTGTGTGTGTGTGTGTGTGTGTGTTACGGTCAAAGTCCCAAGTCGGCCAATGCGCGGATTGGCCTGCCAATGCGCCCATTGGCCAATATCGCCTCCCATTAACCGGTCAAATTCCGAAACTTTGCTTGATTTTGGCCTTTGGTCGGCCAATCCGCGGACTGGCCATGGTGGACCGGCCAAAGTCTTAATTAGAAGATCATCTGGCTAGGGACGACCGGCCAAAGTCCGAATTAGAAGATCATGAGCAGATTTTGAGTTTTTTTTATACCGTAAGGATCATGAAATTAAGTCCTTATTGATTATTAATTAAAGTAAATGACAGAAACATTCAAATTTTTTATTGTACTATAATCTCAATCAATCAATATTATCATTTGTTACAACACGTTGAGCTTTTATGGCATTTAGAATTACACAGTAGCTTGTTATGTTTACAGTTGTAGCGATTTTTTGTGTACTTGGTTGTGCAATTGCAGCGGGTGTAGCGTTCAATGATTGTGATGATGCGATTGTTCATAGTGATTTTTCCTCAGTGCCAAATGACGACAATAAGAGCAGTTTTTCGTGAAGAATTGAAAACTCACTGCTAGCATACAGCTGTTTTAGAACACCATGTTCCGTTCCTAACTTGTAGAAAGCGCCCTCGACGCTCATGACAGCTGCAATGACGCTTCGGGGATCACCACGACCTCTGTCAACATCTGGTATACGGATGCGTACATTGTCACCCACTTTACCATCTTTAAATTTTGTATTTGATGTTTTAAGCATCTTAGCATCTTGAGTTTGCAAGCTAGTATTAGGTGTTGTACATGATTTCTTGTTTGTTGTGACATAATCTGCAGGTAATATTTCCTCCGTACCCTTTGTCTGCTTCATTGGGTATTCAGCAAATAGCATGGACATCGTTGCCACAGGATCAACAAGCATGGGCTGCACTACAATATTTTTAACAACCTACACATAATCTATAGGCCGTATTATTGTCACTCAACTGGTCAGGACTTTCCGCCACCGCAGCCTATGTGTTAGCTGAGGATGTCGTTGCATTTAGGGCAACCTCCATTTCTTGTTCAATGTTCTCAAGATCTTCCTCAGTAACTAAATTATCGAGATCCTCCTTTGGTAGATTTGATGTGCTAAGCCCCTCTTTTGCTTTGCATCCAAACAATCTTCGTATGGCGATTGTTGGATTCCTTGATGAAAAGAACGATGTTTTATAAATTGAATGAATATGAGACTCTCAGCCCGATGAGCTAATTGTTTGCATCCATGTAATCATCATGTTTTGAACATCTTGGTTGGCAAGTTCGACTGAACCTTGGCTTTGGCTATGCCTTGGTCTTCGCAATAGTCGTGAAGATATCCAGCAGCTGGTAAGCAACTTCTTCTGATCTTTTGGTTTCCAAAGCTCGCAATGATATGAACTTGGTTAAATGATCCTGGTAAATGAGTATAAACTTGTATTTGCCGTCTTGGTTACTTTGCATTTCAATAAGACGCCAACTGTGTTTGAATTTGTTCTTTGATGATTGTCTCACCTCATCGTCATCATGGAGGAGGCTGTCACATACAGTTGTAGCCCATATATGGAAACTAACATGGTTTTACATTTTTCTTTCTTTTGACAGCCATCTGCTACGTCTGTCTCATGGTCTGACGGTCCTTTTGATCTATGCCGCATTGCATATATAATGCTATACAAACAAGAGCTAAACAATACATTACTCACAATGAAACCGCACCCAGAATAATGAAAACGCAATCACAACTTAGTCTAGATAGAATATTGGCCAAGAAAGCCGGCCAATGCGGGCTTTGGCCGCACTTCGGGCTTTGACCGTAACACACACACACACACATACATACATATATATATATATGTATATATATATATATATATATATATATATATATATATATATATATATATATATATATATATATATATATATATATATATATTGGAAGGCATAGAAATGAATGAAACTTTAACTATATTTGTACAGCTTTTACACGTGGTAAATTGGTAAACCTGATATGTTTGAAAATTATCTTTCATAATGACTTGACGGCGAGCGAGAGCTTCAGCCGAGCTGTTGACTCCATCCACTGTTTTAAGTGAGTTTTTTCCGTGTAAAACTGGAAAAAATAAGTTTCTGTAGCTTATTGGTGTTTGTCGAACTATGTATGAAATTATTCATATCTTTATAGGCTACTGCTTAAATTGACCCATAAGTTGTATGTTTTCTTATATAAATAAAAAAAATAAAATAAAATAATTTAATGAAAAATAAAAAATTAAGAATTTTAAAAAAAGTAAAAAAATAAAATAATTGAAAGTTAAAAATTAACAATTATAAAAATTACTAAATAAATAAAATAATATAAAGAAATAAAGAAACAAACAAGCAAATCAACAAACAAACAAACAATATAAATAATATAATAATAAAAATAATATATAATAATATATTATTATCAAAGACTGAAATTTTCTTTTCTTTAATTGTGTTTGTTCCAAATGACAAACTCAAAGGCATTCTTTTAGCATAACTAAATCCCGAATCTGAAGCTAAACATTTAGTGATGATACTAAACAAATATATTTTTCTCAAAATCTGTCTTCAGCTACCGAGCAGGTTTTGCAAGTGGACTTTTTTTGACAAGGGTAAGTTTATATTATTTAGGATCCTACACACAGTTCTTTAAAGGTTATTTTTTTTTACTGATGAGGTATTGTAAAAATAGAAATTAAAAATTATTATTATTATTAAAAAACCGTTCGGACATAATTGTCTTCACTACAATTTAACGATTAATTTTCCATCATATTTCTCCGAGCGAGAGTAGATTGATAATTAGCTTATAAAAGATTTGCACATATTTAATCCCACTTTGGAGTTGGCTGCAGAAGTGCTTCCAAATTTGATGCAACATTTACAAACATGAGTCAATATTCTTACATCTATTGTTAATTTACAGTAATCAAGCTTTAAATATTATCTGCAAATCTTTGCAGTAAGACTGGAATTTGAGTCCGATAAACTGGACGCTTGCAGTGAACAGCTCTATGTCATCGGCTGGACACGTGATTAGCTAGAGTACCCCTTGAAACCTATACACACGCAGTAAAAAAACAAGATTTGTTCATGTCAGTGTCTTCTGCTGGCACAAATAAATAAAATCTGTGCAAGAAATGTGTGCGGAATAAATGTCACATACCTGCTGTAAATACGAAGTGAGTTTGTAAAGTCAGCAGCAGGATTATGGCAAGCCAGTTGTTGATGTCCATGATAGTTGAAGTTGATAAACAAGGCAGACAGTGACGATGTGGGTTTAGCCGCTTAGGTTTTGGAAAACTGACCAGTCAAGTACTTACACAGTGCAGACTGATGTTTGTAGGTGGAGGTATAGAGGCTGTAATCAACTGATAAGTTGGCTGATGTGTTTCAAGAAATCTACTGGTTGGTTTTGCTTAAGTTTCATTAAAACATGTCACATAACTCAGTCACACACAACCATAAAATGTATTTACACGAAATAGCCAGGGGTAATTATAATTTGTTATCTGATGTTTTAAACTATTGTGTTTTCAATTGTGTTTATATACATAATACAAGAGACAACAATAACTACCAAGACGTAACTTAACATTCGTTTACTTAAAATAAAACGGATTTTACTAATTTAAAATATTTGTCACAAAACCCCAAGATTCAAGCAAAGTTTAACCCGAACCCTAACCCGAACCCTAACCTAACTTTTAGCTTACAACACACCATCAACTTATTTACACGGTTACGTTTCAGGTTATCTTAAACCAGGGGTTCCCAACCTTTTTTAACTCTAGAGCACATTCTAAAATATCGGTAGGGTGACGGGCACCACCAATTTTAAATCGACAAACTCCTTCCATAACTTGTCATTTTCCCATAATTTATTTTCTTATTTTCTTATGTTCTAATTGTAATAATGTATTAATAAATATACATTAATATAAATATATATTAATATATATATATATATATATATATATATATATATATATATATATATATATCGTTGAAAATTCTTTATGTATGTAATTATGTTTGTCGTGGATTACAAAGGAATATAAGAAAAAAAAATAATTACATAATTAGCGGGGATTGATCAAGTGCAATGTTGTAGGTATTTTTAATACTGCTTTTTATTTATTCACTACACTGAAATTACAGTTTACTAATTATTTTAAAAAAAAATCATTAACAGTTAATAAGCCAGGTCCTACATGTCCTATACGTTTATTTCTTTCCGTTTACGGATAAGCTTGGAGTATTATAATTGTTCATTAAATTGAAATAGACGCGTCCGCCGGCGCCCACCAGGGCTAAATTTGGCGCACTGGGCTATATTATGAGCGCTATGGTGCATAATTTCGCTTTGTACAGTGCCATAGAGTATGGATAAGAAAGGTTAGAATCGTCTTTAAGTGAATCGAATCCGTGAATCCGTTTTTGTTTGTGTTGTGTTTTATTTGTGTTGTATTTTGTTTGTGTTGTTTTGTGAATGTGTTGTGGTTGTTTTGTGTTTGTGTTATGTTCGCGGTTCTTTTTTGTGTGTGTTTTGGTTATGGCTGGTTGTGATTAGGGTGGGCAATGCTGATTACAAAACACAAATGTCATGGTCTTTTACAGATAGGTTTTTCACAGAGGCCAGAGCAGGGCCTGGCCGTGACGGCTAATATATATATATATATATATATATATATATATATATATATATATATATATATATATATATATATATATATATATATATATGTGTGTGTGTGTGTATAGTCCTATATAATATGCATACACACATAATAACACATAAATGTTTTGGAGTCTATAAGACTTTAATAACAGATGTTAACCTCTCCCACGTTTTAACCCAATGTTCTTAGTTTTTTTTTCCTTGCTAAGATATTAAATCACTTTTGACAGTTATGTAATTCATACCAAATCACTTAAGAAAATTCAATTACGTGCCAAATAATTAGGAAAATAAAGTTGTTTAAATTGTCTTTTGATGACTAATTTTTAATATAAAAGCAGGGGCGTAGCGAGGGGGGGGGGGGTTGCAGACCGCACCGGGTGACACCATTTAGGGGGGGGGGGGGTGACACCAAGGCAAAAAAAAAGCAAAACATATACAAAAAATGATTGTTTCACTCTAAGAAGTGGTTAATTAGAGTGTTAATAGTCAAATTTAATAGCAAATTTGATAAATCCCGACAAGGGTGGAGGGGGGGGGGGAGGGGGTGGTGACACCATGACGTTAACCTGCTAATGATAGAGGAACCATGCTACATCAACACTTTTAACTTTCTTCCAAAAAAAAAGAATAATAAATCACTCTGTCTAATGCCCCTTGATATAGATCCTAAGGGCCTCGTCGCCCTCTTCCCACCCTCTGCACGCAACTGAATGTTAATTTTGTTATACCAAGACAAGTAGGCCTACATATACGACATCTACAACAAGCAAGTCAGGACTAGCGTTCATCAGGTCACCAACTGTATACTACAGGCATCCAGTCCTCTCACCAATAGGACGTCTTCATCGGTATCATTTTACGTGTTTCCCAAATTTACATTCCATGTCAGGTCGGGGGCTGATTCGCGTCCAACTATCTCCAGTCAGCTCAGGTCAAATGCGAGGCGACCGTACCCAGCACACAGCGAGGTGTGACACTGTTTTTTTTTTATCGAATTACGGCCTGTCCCAGTTTAGGGGGGTGATAACTCACTAACATCAACCGGGGCCTCAGTTATAACAATCAACAACTTCGGCATTCGACCATTTAGTTTTTCCCAATTGAATTCAGCAACAATTTATTTAAGTTTACAAACTTATTCAGATAACAATGACAGTGCTGCAGCGCGGGGCCCCTTCAAGCGCGGGGTCTAGGGCGACCGCCCCGTTAGCCACCCCCTAACGCCGGCTCTGGTTACGGTTACCTTTTAGGTTGAGATTAAAGTTAAAATAAACTTTTGGACGATTTTATATTCCCCCCCCCCCCCCCATTCCCTAAGTGAACAAAACGCCAGAACCCTAAATCTAAAAAGACGTCAAACCTCAGCTTATATTGATTTCTTTCTAAATAGTTTTCAGCCGAGTCAACGTTGAGCATATGAATCAATTTATTTTTTAATTTAAACGAAAAATAAAAATAAATAAATGAAAAAGCAAAATATCAGCCTTTATTTTCCCCTAGTGTAGTGTGTCGTCGTTTTAGGACGATCCTTTTTAAAAAATGTGTTCGAATATTTTGAATCAGTTTTATTTTCATCACACTGCTTTAAAAAAACATTATGTACTGTACTGTTAGTAAGTGCACCTTACAATAGAGCAAAGTTTTGTACCGTTGTTGGCATAGACTACATTACACAGTCAGATTGAAATAAGTAGTTAACTAATAGTGTGTTTCTACAAATGAATATACCGCTAATTTAATTTAAATCTTCACATACATTTGTGTATAAAGTAATTTATAAATTCTCTACATAAAAAAGTATTTTTAAGTTCTATACCTAGTTTGGATGCTCTGATCAAGCATAAACGACAAATAACCAAAATTTAAAAAAATAATTTTTTAAAGTAAACAAACTCCTGAGTATATAGAATATAGATTATAGATAAACAAGGCTAATCCACTCTAGATTTATTAGCAGTGTAATATCGAAATAGGAAGGAGGTATGGGGGGGGGGCACAGTAATTTTGTTTTAAGCCAAATTGAATTACTATCCACCTAGTTTAAGGTATAGTTAGGGTTACGGTTAGGGCTAGGGTTTGTGTTAGATATTGGTTTAAGGCTAAGGTTAAGACTAAGGTTAGGGCTAGGGTTAGTTTTATGGTTAGGGTTAGTGTTAGGATTATGGTTAGCACTAATTACACATCTCAACCTATCAAGTTATCGTGTTTACAGTCACACAGGCACACACACACACACACACACACACACACACACACACACACACATACACACAGACATACTGACAAGATTACAAAATTATGTTTTTTCCATATCAGTGAGGTGTAAAACGTCGAGATTTGCAAAAATCTTGATTTTTTTTAAACCTTTACAAGACTTTCTCTATACTTTGTATATACGAGAAAGTAAAAAAAGAGCGTTAGTAAGCACAGAATGTTAGACAAATTACAAAATCAACAAAACTGAAGTAAATAAAGTTGAAAAGAATAGGAAACTTTTTTTCATAAAAAACGCTTTAATAACAAGCCTTTATGTACTAATGCACTAAAAAGTAGAAAATAAATTATAGTTTACTATTTAAATAACAATAAAGAAAACCGTGGGTCACTTGAGTATCTATTGGATACCATTACTAATGCTTAGGAAGAGACCCACGCTTTTCTTTCTAGTTATTTAAATAGTAGGCTATAATTTATTTTCTACTTTTTAGTGCATTAGTACATAAAAGCTTGTCATTAAAACGTTTTTTATGAACAAATTGTTTAGTACTTTACATGTTTTTATTTACAAAAGAATTTCATGACTAAAAACCATTGCGCGCCTATTGAACGTGATGACGCGTGTGGTGTGGTTTGATAGAAATGCCTACTAATTTGGTCAAAATTTTAATTAATTTATAAAAAACTTAATTAGATATCAAATTAAGTTAAATTTAATTTCAGAATGCATTGTCTTCATGTCTTGACCCACGTTCCAACTACGAACCGTATTTGTCAGTTAGAAGTGCCTGCAATTACGCTCCAGCATTTAGATCTAGAATTACGACAGAGGAAGTGAGTTAAAAAAAAGCTTGTGAAAAGATTGATATCTTTTGACTTAGCTCGAATCGGGAATATATACTGGTTACGAATCGTAAAAACAAACCCTATGTTTATGGATATCCAAAAGAAATTATTCTCAAATGTAATCATTGACGCTCAGTAGGATGGAGCTTTGGGGTGGGTGGCAGTTGGTGGGGTGAAGTAAAGGATAACTGTGCATTTAAATCTATGGCTACGGGATGCTATACTCTAAGGAAAGGGGCACTAAATTCAAGTACTACGTTACTAAGAATGTTTGTGTTTATAGAGCGACCACGTATTACATTACCGGTCATGATCGCGGTCTCACAAGAGAAGGTTCGTGTCTATTATTAGGAAGTGACAGCCAGCTACACCTTATTTATGAGTTTCGCGACGGCTGCGGTGAAAATCGGTACTTTAAACGTGTGAGAAATAAGGACAAATTTACAATAAAGCCAACTCGGCCTGATGTATCAAAACAGTATAGACTTCAAAACTTGTTTAGAATCAGTACAATATTTTAAAACTTACATTTTTTAGCCCCCCCCCCCCCCCCTCCGAAGAGATGCCTGGAAAAAACTCTGTGTCCACTACAGGATCCCATCTTATCACTAAAAGGACGTCTTCATCGGTCCGCATACAATAGGGTATCTCTTTACGTGTTTCCCAAATTTACATCCCATGTTGGGGGCTAATTCGCGTCCAATTTTTGTATCGAATTACGGCCTTTCTCAGTTCAGGTGGGCGATAACTCACTAACAGCAACCGTGGTCTCAGTTATAACAATTAACAACGTCGGGGCCCCTTCAAGCGCGGGGCTGGGTCGACCGCCCCGTTTGCCACCCACTATCGCCGGCCCTGTGTAGGCTTATGTGTATTTTCTTATTTTTTCTTATGCTTTATTTTTTATTGTGGTTTATCCACCATAAACATGTTTGTTTTTAGTTTTGTAGTTTATTTTTATATTGCTAGGTTCAGTGTTTCTTTTTTTTAGCCTTCAGTTTTTGATGCTTTGAACGTCATGTGTGCATGGATCCTTCCAACGTTGTTAACACCTACTTTGTCATCATTGTGTCTGCATTTATCGGGGCGAAGTGTGTTTTGCTTTATTGTTTACCAATGTAGTTTGTGTATGTTGTTCGGGCTGAATTCCTTGTGTAGGTAATAAGCTGACTCTTATGACTTATAAGAAAATTATTGATTTTAGTATTTTAGATTGTAGAGTTAGTGTTAGTAGCAGTAATTCTCTCTAGGCCCTAGTTAGTTATCCTTAGTTGTTGTTAGTGTTTAAATATTTTATCTTTTGATCATGTATGTAATTATGTTTACATTTGTCATATATTTTACTTATGTTTTTTTTTCCTAATTTTTTTCTCCATACAGGTTACGGTAGTAATTTGGCTGGGAGTTTGGTTTTGTTGTTTGTGTTTTTTTTGTGTTTGTTTGCTGTCGTTTTGGTTGTTTGTTTTGTTCTGTAGTTGCCTTTGTTGTCTTTAGCTGGTATATGTGATCAGTGTAGTACTTTGAAATTTATTACAAAAAAGCGTGTTATTAAAACGTTTTTTATTTTTAAAATTATGAATATTTTTTCAGTACTTTAAATTTTCAACTAAAACTATTTCGCACCCAATGAACATGATAACGTACGTATAATAGAGCGGGATATTTGGATAAGACTGCCTATTAATTTGGAATTTTTAAAAAATTAATTCATGAAAAATGAATTAGGCATTCAATTAAGTCAAATTAGAAGTGCCCAAAATTTCGCTCGAGTATTTCGATCTATGACGACAGACTGTCGACAGACAGAGGAAGCAAGTAAAATAAAAGCTTGTAAAAACGTTTTAATAATAGAGTGTATGTAATAATGCACTAAATAAATAAATTAAATAAATTATAATACACTACTATTTAAATAACTATAAGTTGATTTGGGTCCATTGATTTTTCGTGTGTAAACAAAGTATGCCAATAAGTTAATTTTCTTTTTTTTTATCTTTAAGACTAAAATTAGGGATTATCCCTTTTGGCTTCAGCTAGAGTTGCTCTGACCCAATGGATTATAATAAACCTAGTCATTAAATTGTAGGAATCAGTCACAGGAAAAAAAAGTCACAGGAAAAAAAGTCACATATGCGTTGCATGGGGTATTTAATACTTTTACGTTATATGCCAATCAACTTACGACTAACTAAATGTAAAGTAAACATTTTAGATATAGATGCGTGGGTTGTATACATATGGTTATATTTATAACACAGATAAAAGCATTTTAGTATAGAGTCTGTAGGTTTTAAATGTAATTCCGTTTTACACATCACATTTAATAAAATGTACGATTCAATCGTGTTTTTAAATACTAACTTTCAATTAGCGTGAAATGGTATAAAGACGTAGATAATGCGAACTTGCTGTCCTCAACTCGTCTCAACAAAAGCTCAACCACCTTTATCACGCTCATTACGTAACAAACCTTAGGATCATAATAGAAAGCTTACAAGGTACAAAGGCTGGCTTTGACGCTAAACGTAAAAAAACGTAAAAAAAACAAGGCCGGCTGAGGAGAAGCTGACCAACGAACGGCCAACGGTAAAAATAAATATGCAAAACACAAATATGTGCCGATTTTCTTTTGTAATTAACTTTTCTACCGCGTATTTAACTAAATACGTAACACAATTGAGGTTTATGTGTAAATTACCTTCCAGTACTTTTACATATTTTTGTTATTAACCATAATGCTTTTAAAATTAACAAATGTGGTACACAAAAAAAAAAACTCACAACTTAACACCAAAATTTTACGATTCACAAAAATTAAATCAAAATATTCCTTAAAAGATTTTGGAACTTTTTTTTGTGACTTTATTTCTGTGACTTTTTTTGTAAATGAAATTTTTCCTTTGTGACTTTTTTTCTTAGCAAAAGCTGTAACTTTTTTCCTTTTTTTTCCCTGTGACTTTTTTCCGTTCACCAGCTATGAGATTAGACCCACTCACTACTGTCAGGGCTTTCGTTTTTCACGTGTTTTAACCAACCAATAGATTTCTCTCAATACGTCAGCAAACATCACAGTCTGCACTGTCTCACTACGTGGCTTGTCAGTTGTCCACAACCTGGCTAAAATCCCATCGTCAGTCGGCTTTGTTTAACAACTTCACCCACCATGGACATTATTAACTGGGTTGACATCATCCTGCTGCTGACTGTACAAACTCACTTCGTTTTATCAGACGATGCTCCAGGTATGTGAAGTTTATTCCGCACAAGTGCCTGCGCAGATTTGATGTGCAGATTAATGTATATTAACATTAGATGAAAAAACATTTACTCACGCTTTAGCTAGCAGATGTATTAGGATAATTTACTGACATTCTTTTCTAGCTTTTAAACACACAGTAAATGAACTATTTTTTAAACACAGATGTTTTATGTAAATCAGTCATTTATATTCAGCATACGTGAATGACTTTACCAAGCCTTATGCGACTACTGTAAAGTTAATTGTACATTAAAATATTGATTTAGTTATTTTTCTAGATCTGCTTATTATAAAATGTAAATATTGCATCAAATTTGGAAGTACTTCTGCAGCCAACTCCAAAGTGGGATTAAATATGTGCGAATCTTTTATAAGCTAACTATCAATCTACTCTTGCTCAGAGAAATATGATGGAAAATTAATCGTTAAATTGTAGTGAAGAGAATTATGTCCGAAACGGTTTTTTAAAATAATAATTTTTAATTTCTATTTTCACAATACCTCACCAGTTAAAGCAAAAAAATAATAATAATGCCATCCACCTTAAAATAATTCTGTGTAGGATACTGAATAATATAAACGTACCCTTGTCAAAAAACGTCCACTTGCCAAACCTGCTAGGTAGCTTAAGACAGAATCTGAGAAAGATACACTTGTTTAGTATTATCACTAAATGTTAAACTACAGATTTAAGATTTAGCTATGCTAAAAGAATGCGTTAAAGCATGTCATTTAGAACAAATAAAATTAAATTTAAAAAAATTTCAATATTTGATAATAATATATGATTATATATTATTTTAGCGCAATTTCCATTCTGGAGAATTGCGTTTATTAACCCGTCATTTCTGGATGTATGAATGTATGAATGAATGGATGTGAGTCAGCAGCTTTAAGTCGTATCTCCTCCTCAACGAAACAATATCGAGGACTAGTTCCAAAAGCAATTATGTTAAGCAAGTTACGAGGATGAACATAGGCCATAAAAATTCCGGGTTTCTTTTATGGATTTCCCGGAAAAGCCAAAAAACCTCGAAAAATGCAGTTTTTGGCCCATATCTCGGCAACCAGACCACTTAGCGACTTGAAACATTTACCAATCGATTCCTGCCATAATTTAGAACAATATTGCCGAAGAAAGTTTTCAAAAATATCCTTTTGTTAGGTCACAAAATTTTTTTTTTTTAATTAATTAAAATTTGGATTGAATTAGTAGGCATGTTTATCCAACCACACCACACGCGTCATCACGTTCAATAGCTGCGCCATCACGTTCAATGGCTGCGCCATCAAGTTCGGTAGCTAGGCGCGCAATGGTTTTTAGTCATGTAACTCTATTGTAAATAAAACATGTAAAATACTGGAAAAAAAAATTAATAAAACACGTTTTAATAACTAACCAATGGTTTTACTAGCCCTGCTCTTGATTTACGCTACGACAGAGCTATTTTTAGATAACATAAGGAAATTGCGCTTAAATTGACACTAGACTTTTTAATTACCTTGTTTTTGAATCTAAAAAGATCATTGATTAGTATATTCCGTTTTTTTTAAATCTGCATAATTATTTCGAAATTCTACTCCTATTGCAGATTTTCTGATCAACTGAATATATATATATATATATACATATATATATATATAAATATATATATATATATATATATATATATATATATATATATATATATATATATATATATATATATATATATATATATGTATATATATATATATATATATATATATATATATATATATATTTTTTTTTTTTTATTTTTTTTTTTTTTTACTTATTTGTGTGTTTGTTAGTTTGTTAGTTTGTTTATTTTTTTGTTTATTTTTTGTTTGTTTCTTTTTTATTTGATTTATTTATTAATTTTTATAATTGTCAATTGTAACTTTCAATTATTTTTTTTTACTTTTTTATAAAAAGTCTTAATTTTTTATTTTTCATTAATTTTTCATTACTTTATTTTATTTTTATTTATTTTATTTATACAAATTATGTGTCAATTTTATCAGTAGGCCTATAAAGATATGAATAATCCCATGCGTAGTTCGACAAACACACAAACACACCAATAAGCTACAGAAAACTTTTTTTTCCAGTTTTACACGGAAAAAATTCACTTAGAACTGTGGATGGAGTCAACAGCTCGGCTGAAGCTCTCGCTCGCCGTGAAGTCAAAATTACCGATAACTTTCAAACATATCAGGTAGGATATGGTTTTTTAAAAGCGGTATAAATAAAGTTTAAAATTAAATTTTCACACATTTCTATGCATTCCAATAACTATATATATATATATATATATATATATATATATATATATATATATATATATATATATATATATATATATATATATATATATATATATATATATATATATATATATACATATATATATATACATATATATATACATATATATATATATATATATATATATATATATATATATATATATATATATATATATATATATATATATATATATATATATATATAAATATATATATATATATACATATCTTTATAATTAAATTGTTCTGAAATAAATATAAATTTGTTGGACAGAAAACTTGTGACAGGAAATCGATGTCTGATGATTTACCAGAAAGGGCGATCATGAAATCCGAAATTGGTGTAGATGTGATGTGTGATACCAAAACTGATGGCGGAGGGTGGATTGTGATTCTGGTAACTATTTCAATTTTATTAGTTAACTGATCAAAGTAACTATCTTTGACAGCAAATTATTTTCTAGATAAATCATTTTTCTTTCGGTAACAAACAACATTGAAGTGTTAAAATCACAACAGCCTTTGTATGTATACAATCTTAACTTGTGTCATGGGAACATTACACAACATGACAAATGAACGGGATGGCCAAGCGGAAGACTGCTGGACTGCTAACTATAAAGTTCCGAGTTCAAATCCTTGTTCAAGACAGTAGAAAAGGAAACTGTATTTATAATTTTGACTAACTTAGACGTCAAATGAAGTTACACACGTAACGTTAGACCTTCGAGCAATTACGTAGGTAAAAGTGGTGATGTTGACAATAATTATTTTTCACCTAATGTTAGGGCATTTTTTTATTAACTTAAAGACAATTTAATCACTCGTCATTTATATATAATTATTGCTTTTATATTTCAGCGACGTAACAAAATGGATGTTGACTTTAAAAAAAAATGGGTGGACTACAGAGATGGTTTTGGTACATATGCTGGCGACTATTGGCTTGGACTTAAACATATGCACAAACTAACATCGGTAAAAAAACAGGATCATATATATATATATATATATATATATATATATATATATATATATATATATATATATATATATATATATATATTTAGAGGACAATTCAAGAACTTCCCGGCCAAGTTTTCGTATTGACCGAAGTGTTTTAACTTTCGACGGTTTCGGATATTAGCCAGCGATGTTTTACAAAGTCTAAGACCTGTTTCTTATTTATACTATTTGCTTATTTCATACACTTTCCTTTTTTTATAATAACCAGATGGGACGATGGGAACTAAGAATTGAGATGACATTCAGGAAGATCGACTACTACGCCCAATACGAATCGTTCAAAATCGGAAGTGAGTCAGAGTATTTTCCCCTTCGCATTTCTGGCTTTTCAGGAAATGCTTCCGACGACTTGAAATATCACAATGGCGGCAGATTTTACACTATAGATTATATCGACGAAATGGGTTGCGCTGCCAAATTTAGAACGGGGTGGTGGTTCCAGAGGTGCCTACTTGTAAACTTGAATGGTGATTACCGTAGGACGCAGTATCAGGGAGGAATACACTGGAAGGGTGTGGATGGTTACCATTCATTAGGTGCAGCTGAGATGAAAATAAGAAAGAAACCTAGAACGTCACCTGGGATTTCAAGTAATTAGCAGATAAATAATGTGTTCAACGGATTCACCAAGTACATCACATACATTGGACATGTCAAAATTGTTGAAAAATAGCAAAAAAAAAAAAAAAAAAGTCAAAAGCTTCTACTCGATTCCTAGTTATTTTGTCTGTGTTTTGTCATAATGTGTTGAAACATACCAGCGAAATTTCAACCACCTCTGACGGGCCGATTTACTTCAACTAGACACTTAGGTCAAGATCGGATCACAATGCAAAGTGTTTATTTTTATTTTTTTATTTTTAGTATACAATTATTTTGTCTAAAAAGCGTGTTATTAAATATTGTATTTTATGTAAAACAATTTTATGTTCGTAATGCAAAAATATATTGAGAAAAAACAAAAAATCTGTTCTGTATGAATTTTAATGAAATATCATAAATTGCTTTTCGTATTTATATTATACAACTTGCCGCAACTACAGTAGAAATATATTCCGGTAAAAAAAATTTTTTCGACCGAGCGAAATAGCAGGCATTTCTACTTAACAGATAAGGTTCTTAATTTGTACGTGGTTCAAGACATTAAGACAATGCATCGTGACATTAAATTTGACTTAATTAATTTTTTGAGAATTAATTAAAATTTTGACCAAATTAGTAGGCATTTCTATCCAACCACACCACACGCGTCATCACGTTCAATAGCGCGTCATCACGTTCAATAGGCTCGCAATGGTTTTTAGACATGAAACTCTATTGTAAATAAAAACATGTAAAGTACTAAAAACAATTTTCATAAAAAAACGTTTTAATAACAAGCTTTTATGTACTAATGCACTAAAAAGTAGAAAATAAATTATAGACTACTATTTAAATAACTATAAAGAAAAGAGTGGGTCTCTTCCTCAACATTAGTAAAGGTATCCAACCTATCTATCTATATATATATATATAGCAATGTATGTTTGTTTGTTTGTTTGTTTGTTTGTTTGTTCTTTATACATTACTACACCTCTCATCACATCGCCGTGAAACTTTGGGAAGTTGTAGAGAATATTTGTGGGGAGGTTTCTGCGGAATTTTTTTTTTAAAATTCGCAGGGGTGGCGCCCCGACAGGGCGCGATTTGTTTTTTTCTATATACGGTATATAAAAATCTATATATATAAAAAGCAATGTATGTTTGTTTGTTTGTTTGTTTGTTTGTTTGTTTGTTTGTCCTTTATGCATTACTACACCTCTCATCGCCGTGAAACTTTGGGAAGTTATTGAGAATATTTGTGGGGAGGTTTCTGCGGGAAAAAAAATTTCAAATTCGCAGGGGTGGCGCGCCGACAGGGCGCGATTTGTTTTTTTTCTATATACGGTATATAAAAATAAAAGTCGATTTTGGCTTGGCATCGTTCATCCGATAGCCATGAGACTTTGGGGAGCTCATTATACCACTCTAGGGAAGGGCTCTGTAAAAAAATCATTTTTAATTTCGCAAGGGCGGCGCCACGGGAGGGTCCGATTTTTCTCTATATACGGTATATACAAATAATAAAAGTGAATTGCAGTGACACCGTTCATCCGATCGTCATGAAACTTTAGGCAGTTGTTGAGAATATTCCTGGGGTGGTTTCTGAGATAAAAAATAATTTCAAATTCGCAGGGGTGGCGCCCCGACAGGGCGTGATTTGCTTTTTTCTATATACGGTATAAAAAATAAAAGTCGATTTTGGTTTGGCATCGTTCATCCGATAGTCATGAGACTTTAGTGAGTTCATTATACCACTCTAGAGAAGGGTTCTGTAAAAAAAAATTAATTTCGCAAGGGCGGCGCCACGGGAGGGTCCGATTTTTCTCTATTTACGGTATATAAAAATAATAAAAGTGAATTGCAGTGACACCGTTTATCCGATAGGCATGAAACTTTGGGGAGTTCATTATAAAACTCTAGGGAAGGGTTCTGTAAAAGATCATTTTTAATTTCGCAAGGGCGGCGCCACGGGAGGGTGCGATTTTTCTCTATAAACAGTATATAAAAATAAAAGTCGATTTTGGTGTGACACCGTTATCCGATAGCCATGAGACTTTAGGGGAGTTGATTAGAACAATTCAGGGAAGGGTTCTGTAAAAAAAAATCCTTTTTTAATTTCGCAAGGGCGGCGCCACGGGAGGCTGCAATTTTTCTGTATATACGGTTTATAAAATTTCGGTTTCACACCGTTCATCCGTGTACCATGAAACTTTGGGGAGATGCAGATGAGTAGATCACTCAATGGTAGGGTTATGCAAAAAATATTGTTTAATATTGGAAGGGCGGCGCCCCCGGGGGGGGGGGGGGGAGCGATTTTTTTCTCTATACACGGTTAATAAAAAATAAAACTCGGATGCGGTTCATCCGAGTACCATGAAACTTTAGGGAGTAGTTGAGAATACTCCCGAGAATATTTCTGCGAAAAAGAAAACTAAAGTTTCTTATGGGTGGCGCCATATAGGGTACAACTTTCGTCAATACACGGTTTGGCGCCCAGAGTTTTAGAGCGACTATGTTGGCACTTGGCATCCGTTAATCGAGCGTCCTGCATAGCGAGTAAGGGGTACTACTATATTCAGCGGTAAAACTACACCAGGCTTCTAAAAATAACTTTGTAACGCGAGGAAATCCTTCTGTACAGTTTCGTCACCTTGCGAAAGATGAAAAAATAACTTTTTGAATATGAGGAGCCTACTGTAGAGTTTCGTCACTTTGCGAATGATGCAATAAGTATCTATTATTAGACAATCCAGTCAGAAATTGAGATTGAGCATCTAATAATAGACCATTAGTAACGTTAGGATATTGCATCAGTCACAACGATATTTAAAACACGTCAAATAATTTTTTACGTGTTAAAGAAAAAATTCTGTTCATTTGTGTCACTTTAGCGAATGATGAAATCTGCATCATTATTAACAGGATGCTATTTGGCCGATGGCGCCTGTTAGTTTTAAGGGGCCAGGGGTCGTACGCCGTGCCTATGCGGTAGTGTAATCCGGGGGGGGGGGGGCTGAGAGCGCCCCTATACGCTCTGACACATGGGCGGTCACCGAAGTGTGTTCTACCATATTATTTCGGTGAGTGATTAATGTACACTCAAGGTTTTCATGCGGTAGTGAAGGTAAACCCGTATCCTGATATTTATGATTCAAGCACAGGCATTGTTTACATTTAAATAACTCACTTTTAGAAAAGAAGGTCACGCGTCTAAGAACATATAATTATAATTGATAACGCGTTGGTGAAATCCTAACATATTTCGTCAAACTTTCTTCTATCCCCGCGGCAACGCGCTGGGGTCGGGTACGCTAGTAAATACTAAAGTGACCCACGCTTTTCTTTATAGTTATTTAAATAGTAGTCTATAATTTATTTTCTACGCTTTAGTGCATTAGTACATAGAAGCTTGTTATTAAAACGTTTTTTATGAAACATTTTTTTAACTTGCTTCCTCTGTCGTCAGTCTGCCTGTCTAGATCGAAACGACCGCGCGAAATTGCAAGCATTTCTACTTAACAGATACGGTTCTTAAGTTGTACGTGGGTCAAGACATGAAGACAATGCATTGTAACATTAAATTTAGCTTAATTGGTCGCCTAATTATTTTTTTATGAATTAAATACAATTTTGACCAAAATAGTAGGCAGTTCTATCCACACGCGTCATCACGACAAAAACGCGTCATCACGTTCAGTAGGCGCACAATGGTTTTTAGTCATGTAACTCTATTGTAAATAAAAACATGAAAAGTACTAAAAATAAATTCATAAAAAACGTATTAATAACAAGCTTTTATGTAATAATGCACTAAAAAGTAGAAAATAAATTATACACTACTATTTAAATTACTATAAAGAAAAGCGTGGATCTCTTTCTAAATATTAGTAAAGCTATCCAATAGATAATAGAGTGGCCCACGCTTTTCTTTAAAGTAATTTTAATAGTAGTCTATAATTTATTTTCTACTTTTTAGTGCATTATTACATAAAAACTTGTTATTAAAACGTTTTTATGAATTTGTTACGAGCTTTTATTTAACTCACTTCCTCTGTCTGTCTCCAGTCTGTCGTCAGTCTGTCTAGATCGAAACGCCCGAGCGAAATTTCAGGCACACCTAACTGACAGATACAGTTCGCAATTGGTACATGGGCAGAGGCGTAGCAAAGGGGGGGGGGCGGGGGGGACATATATTCCCGGGCGCCGACCTTAGGGGGGGGGCGCCAAATTGAAAGTTTGAGCGGGGGGTGCAAATGAAAAGTTCGAGGGGGTGTGCAAATCGAAAGTTTGAGGTGGGGGGGGGGGCAAATGAAAAGTTCGAGGGGGGGGGGGGGGGGAGGTGCAAATTAAAAGTTCGAGGGAGGGTGCATATCGAAAGTTTGTCCCCGGGCGGGTCGCTACCCCTCTGTACATGGGTCAAGACATGAAGACAATGCATCACTACATTCAATTTGACTTAATTGGTCGCCTGATTATTTTTTTATGAATTAATAAAAAAATTGACCAAATTAGTAGGCAGAACTATCCAACTACTCCACAAACGTCATCACGTTCAATAGCGCGTCATAACATACAATAGGTGCGCAATGGTTTTCAGTCATGTAACTCTATTGTAAATAAAATATGTAAAGTACTGAATTCTTTTAGCGCAATTTCCATTCTGGAGAATTGCCTTTATTAACCCGTCATTTCTGGATGTATGAATGTATGAATGAATGGATGGATGTGTGTCCGCAGCTTTAAGTCGTATCTCCTCCTAAACAAAGCAATATCGATGACTAGTTCCAAAAGCAATTATGTTAAGCAAGTTACGAGGATGAACATAGGCCATAAAAATTCCGGGTTTCTTTCATGGATTTCCCGGAAAAGCCAAAAAACCTCAAAAAAATGCAGTTTTTGGCCCATATCTCGGCAACCAGACCACTTAGCGACTTGAAACATTTACCAATCGATTCCTGCCATAATTTAAAACAATATTGTCGAAGAAAGTTTTCAAAAATATCCTTTCGTTCGGTCACAAAAAAATTTTTTAATTAATTAAAATTTGGACCGAATTAGTAGGCATGTTTATCCAACCACACCACACGCGTCATCACGTTCAATAGCTGTGCCATCACGTTCAATGGCTGCGCCATCACGTTCGGTAGCTAGGCGCGCAAGGGTTTTTAGTCATGTAACTCTATTGTTGATAAAACATGTAAATTACTGAAATTTTTAAAAATAAAAACGTTTTAATAACTAACCAATGGTTTTACTAACCCTGCTCTTGATTTACGCTACGACAGAGCTATTTTTAGATAACATAAGGAAATTGTGCTAAAATTGTCAC